AGCATTTTGAGGAAGTACTGTTGGCAGGATTTCACTTTGAAGTTTACACCATGCTCCTAGACCTGAACCCAATGATGTTAAACAGGACTGGTAAACCAACTCTGATTTTTGGAAACTTCTGTCACTGAAAGCACATGCCAAGATAAACACAACCCAGAATGCACAGACTATGAATCTCCTTCTCTTTCACAAGTAGTCATAGTTCCAGCATCTAGACTAAGGTTCAGTTCTGGTCCTGTTCATAAAATTGAGTGGGAATGAGTCCAGCAACAGATCTTTCATTTTCCCTCGACCACTGAAGTGCTGCCCGCTCTCCTGTCACTGGGTAGGCTCTTGAGAGATCAGCAGACTGTTTATCTGCTCAAACATTTACAGACTGAGGATAAAACAAAGACCTGGAAAGCAAAATGTACTTAAGTCAGCAGTGGAAAAAACACAAGTGAGTCACGAAAGTTCAAGTGCACAGTATCTCTAATTTTCACTTCAACAGGCATACAAAGGTATGGTTCTTCCAGTAACTGGAAGAGTCATGCTTTTTACCTCCTTAGTGTAAAAGGAACTAGCACGATGAACAGTAACTCTGGAGCAGGGGAAAGACCTGAGGCATTGCAAACAGGCAGCAGAAAATTCACAGTACACGCAGGCTTATATCTGAGAATCAAGCCTATTTTACACATCCCAAAACATCTAATAATCTGGCAACTAATACCCTGATAAAAACATTCTAACTCATTTACTCACATGAAACATGATGTTTAGATCTGACGAGGATTACTCACCAGAGTAAATTTTTCATTTAAAATCATGCCTTATAGCTAAGAAGGAAAGCTATTTGCTATCCTCAAAACATGTATTATCTGATGTTATATTGCTTTATCTAGATAAAGTGGGCAGTAAATCAAATTTGTACACTGCAGCTGCTAATCAATATGCTTTAGTTGAAGACTACATCCAAATACTGATTCTTAGAGCTATTTGTGAATTTCAGATGTGGCATTAAGGATAAAACTGACAAACTACTTCAGTACTTCTGATGTCTATAAAATCGAGCAACTTTATCTCTTGTTTTATTCTGAAATGAAAAATCTCAGTCGGCAGGCCTCCCGTCTTATTTACAATAAATTAGTGATGAAGGGGAAAGGTTTGTTTTTCAAAAGGGTGTAATTATATGGTCTCAAATATCATTCCATAACCAACTGTCTCTCTCCGTAGCTTTTGAAAGACATCTTAAAAAATATCAGGTTTGGGGTTCTTCGTTTTGCCATACCAGGTAGAATCCCAAAAGGCAGCAAAATGAGCTACCAGTTTGTACCTGCACTTGAAACAGCTTGTCTTCCACCTAGATAGCAGCTGTTTAAATGAGCCAAATTAAACATGGGCTTTAAGTGGAGCATCCAGCTGTACTGGCCAGGCCAAGGCCAGGAGTTCCATCCTTCAGATTTTAGCCTTCGCACGAGGTTATCTTGCCGATGGACAACATACTTGATATTTCAAGTATAAAATTATTACTGGTGACACTACAGTGTGAAGAGAGAACTAAAAAACCAAAAACATCCCCCTTCAAAATAATAATTAAAAAAACAAACAAAAAACAATGCAAAAAACCCCGAACAGTGAAGATCCCTTTCCTCTCCTAAACAGTAATGCTCCCTTTCCATTAGTTCAGTTTGGTTTAACTCATACCCTGACATAACACCTAAGGTTAAAAGTCTTGAGGCTTTCAAGGCATTCTTTCTAGAGTTTCCAATTCAGGATCATTTTCTGCAGGTGCTCCCTGTAATCTTTGTTGAGGTCCAGACTGACCAGCCTACAATAGTAGGGAATGATTCACCAGGCAAGGACTCAAAAGATTTATTTTTAGTTTTGGCAAGAGCAGGAATAACCAAGCATATATTTTGCAAGTTTATTTGAAAAGTTTACTCTATTTGCTAAATATTTATTTTCTGCCTCAAATCTGCAATCTTTAGTATCTGTGATAATATTAAGAAAATTTCACTACAACTGACTCAGCTGTGGTTCATCTCATCTACTTATTTCCATTTATTTTGTCAATATGTCATTGTTTGCTTTTAAAAATAAACAGCTAGTACTTTCTCAGTCACCCTATTTCCTAAACTTAATTTCTTATGTATGATCTTTATAATGATGAGAAAAATACCTATACTGAGAACGCAGACTGCCTTTTAATAATGCAATGCACAGAAATACACTATCCTTTTAACAGAGCAAGCATTCTTCAATACATAAGAAAGGTTGAACTTTCTCCACCTCGAGGATTAAAAAAAATATTTAAGTGCTCTATAAAATGCTGGGGTTTTTTCTGCATCAGCTTAATTCATTTACATGTGTATAGATTACCTAAGCTTTATCTGATGCTCAGGCAGAGAAACAAGAGGACCATTTCTGTGCTACAGGTTGGTTAGGGCCACAGGACTTCTCCCTCCTCACCATGGTACACAGGTCAGCACTAACCTGAAGATACTGCTGTGTGGCCCGTGCGCACAGGGTGGGGAAAGTGAGACGAGGCAGTCAGCCCATTTTCTCATGGATCTAGTTTTTCAGTGGCTGCTATCAAATTCATTGAAGCAAGGATTTGACTGAGCAGGAAGATAGAATTACGTCTCCTTCCCACAGCTCAAGGTCAGGATAAAGATGGAGGAGGGCTGTGAGGCATTTTATGTGCATTTATTGACTTCGTATTATGACTAAATTTCCAAGCTGAAAGTATCATACACATGGATTAAGACACGGCTAATATTTAGTCACATATTAACCAGCACTGATACTGAATCTGAGCAGCAGCCATCTGAACAGCACACCAGACTTCTCAAATAAAACCCAAATTGGAGATTTCTTGTGTCTAGGTAGAGACTTGCAACTAATAAACCTGAGATGTTTCCAAAGAGCAAAGAGAGGTTCACGGCAGAACAAGGCAGCTTCGAGGTACAGAAGAGAGGAGGGAATTGTATTTTCACAACAGTGAAAGGATTCAAAATGCAGAAAAGCGTCTGCATGAGATGTATAAAACATTAGTCGACATTCATTCTCCAGCCTCTGGATAGTTCTGAGGATGTGACACTCACAGAACTCAGACTAAACCAGACGTAGGAGTAAGAAATGCACCAGTGCAGCATCTGCTTACTTGTTCTTCCATTTTGGACATACAAACACAAAAAAGTTTCTTTGCGCCCTACAATATAAAAATACAGACAGACTATTTTAGCCTGTAATAAGCATGAACATGTTGTCTCCTAAAAGGTAGCATGACAACCCTGGCAGAAAAGCCACCCCTTTCTGCCTCCTTTCCCCCCTCTCCAGCTAACTGGAGCTGAAGTACAGTTCATCTCTGCTTCTATTCCAAGCTTTTACACTTTCCTCCTTCTCTCTCACACTCTTTTTCCAAGGCTAGGTTTGCTCCAATTGCTTCTCCTCGAGAGAGGATTTCAGATGCCCCTTGACTGAAGAGGCCTCACCTAAGAAAAGTATCTTTGAGGAGAAACTTTTCAGAGCTTGCCCCCCAGCTCTTTGCTTGGTCAGCATGTACTCAGCAACATAAAACAGCAGTCCAAACACACTACCTTGCAGTTTTACTAAATGAAATTAAAAAAAGCACATATCTAAACACTGGGTGGGAATAAAGCTTTTATGGAAATAGATTTGATGCTACAGTCCCTTCATCCTTGAGTTCCAGAGTCTGAAGGAGTAGCTGAGGGAAGCACCAGTGAGCACCTCTGCAGCTATGTTGTCTGAGTTTATTGCACAGGAGCTTTCAAAGTATTATTACACACATTGAACCACAGGGCACTTGCCCAGCATGTAGTGCACCATTTCAGCGATTGTCAGTGACTGGTTTAAACCATATATTCACCTGGATCTCAGCTCTTGTTTCCTTTCCAGTCTCTTTTTATTTTTAATTGACCTTAAATGATTAGTTACAACCAAACAAAATCATAACTGCGTAATACCTGACTGCTAGGAAATAATTTTGAGTCCCTACCACTATGTAATATCTCACATTCAGAAAACATCTAAAACCATTTTAACAATATAAACTCTATTGCAAATGCATTTAAAATAAATAAATCAGTTGTTGCTACATCACCTACTATCAAGAAATGTGAAATTGCTAAGTACTTTTAGCTGCATTTGCTCTGTAAGGCACACCACCAGTACAAATCTGGCTTATATTTACTTTGTCCAAAAATACAGGAGCTGTTAGAGGGAGCTGCTTGAGTTAAAGCGCATTATCCTGCTACCAGAAGAAATCCTGGGACACTTAACGTTGCTTCACAAGCCTTGGACATGGTAAATAGCAAACAACATTTCCAGTGGTGCCCAAGCCTATTCCACATTAGGAGTGCAACCCTGCTTGTGCTCTCCAGGGCTGGTCTCGTCTCCCAAAAGGGTGTTTACATTTTATTACACAATTTCTTCATTGGAACTTCATTATGCCAGTTATCACCAGTTATGCAAAAATCATGTATCCCCTGGGTAAATAGTAGCTACAAAACACAGGCCTCCCTCCGTAACAGAATTATGAGAGACCAGCCTGTGAAAAACCTGCTTATCATTACACAGTAAGAAGAGGGAGAAAACCAGCAAGGTCCTGCCTTTTGCATTATTTAAATGCGATGTGATGTGAGGCATGGGCAGATTCAAGAGCCAGCCCTTCGCAATACCTCTCTTTGGACCCCCACAGGGGAAGGAGGATGCCAGCTAACGCAGGGCAGGAGCACTTAAGGCACCCTCGGAGGTCCTTGGCCCTGAAACTAGATAAGAGCACTTTGTTTCCCCCTTCCTTCGATAAGACAGCATGTGAGATGAAAGCAGCAAAGCACCCCCTCGGCTTGAAAGCCGAAAGGAGCTGGGTCATAGTCCTGAGAAGTCAGTATGTTGGCTCCTGGTAAGGGCTGGGGGAAGATTCAGAGACCCCCAGTGTCGGCCCTGGGATAGCACCTTTGAGTCCGCTCAGTACCACAGTACAGGGAATGGGGTATTTATTTGTGTTTTTTTTGTTTGTTTTTTTTTTTTTTTTAAGACAATCACATAGTCCCATCATCTAGGGGTTTGGTCTTGGCGGTGTTCATGTAACACAGCACGCGATTCCCTCATCTGGCGGAGACGCCGGACTCCCCGCAGCGTCTGGTCGGGGTTGGGGAGGCCACTGCCACACGCCCTCATGTCGCCCATGGGACCACGGCCAGCTGCGGGGCAGTCACTGACTCCGGCTACCTGTCCTGCCAGTCCTCCGGCCACCCGTCCAGTGGCAGCTCCTCGGCAAGGTCCTGCTGGGCTACTCGCCCCCCTGGTCGGCATGGCCTGGAGCGCCGCCGCCGTCGAAGACCTCGGGGCCGTCGCCGAGCAGCGAGGTGCGCATCTTCCGCCGCTCCTTGAAGCGGCCCGAATGGGACACCCGGAGGCTCCGCCGGCTCCCGCCGCCCGTCCCCGCGGCGTCGCCGCTGCCGAAGGGGGGCGGCTGCTCCTCCCGGTCGTCGGGGCTGGGGGGGTCGGCGGGGGTCTCGCTGGCGGCGGGGGCGGCGGGGCTGCCGCCGCTTCCTTGTGCTTCTTCTTGCTGGTCAGCGATTTCCACCAGGGCCCCGCCGAGCCGCCCTTCACGGCGGCGCGGGGAGCGGCGGTGGCCGCGGCGCTGTCCGCCATCTCGGGCTCCTGCGGGGAGGAAGCAGGCGAAGGCGGGTTGGCAGCCGGGCACTGCCACCCCGCTGGGGCGGCGCCGGGACCCCTCTTGCCCAGCAGCGCTGCCCGCCCGGCACCCCGGGAGCGGCCCCGCGGGGAGGGACGGACGGGTCCTGCGCGGGCAGAGTGTTCTGCGCCCCGCAGAGCGGCCCTGGAGCGCCGCCCGGCCCCGTGCGCGGCACGCAGAGCCACGGGAGCCGAGCGGCCGGACCCGCTGCCTGGACTCGCCAACCCCAGAAGTTGACCCAAGGTCCGGTACCTTGGGGCTGCCGCCACCGCCGCCCCGCGGGACGGGGCCGGGAGCCCGGAGCGACCTGAGGCTCCTGCGATGGGGCGCCGCTCCCTCCCTCCCTCCTCCCGCCACCCCGGCAGCTCCCGCAGCTGCAGGTGCGGGAGGCGACACTGACCTGCGGCGCCCGCCGCTGCGGGAGCGCTCCTGCCCCACGGGGAAGCGCAGCCGCCGCCGCAGCAGGGGAGCAGGGGAGGAACGGAGCGGTGCGCGGTGCAGCCGCAGGTGCCGGCCGGCCCCGCCGCTCGACCCCGTGGGCGGGGCCGCAGCCCGGCCAGCCCCGGGGCCGGGCGGCTCCCGCTCACCTGCCCGGCTCCCGCCGCGGAGGAGGAGCTGGGCCTGGCTCCGTAGGGCGGAGAAAGGTCGGTGTCCCCTGCCGGATTGGAGAGACACGGTAGAAGAGGAAAAGGAGGGGGAGCATCAGCGCAGGTGAGGCAGTACCGTGACCGCGTAATGAAATCCGAGCGTGGACGGCAGCGGTGTTGCCAGTGTGCGTGGCTGAAACAAAATATCACTACTTTTTGTTTGTGCACGTGATGGATGTGCGTGGGCGGGTAGCCTTGAAGAAAAGAGAATTGTGTTTAACTGCCCATCTTTAAAAAGCGAATGAAACTCTAGGTGAGACCATGGAGTCTGATATTTGTTTTTGAACTAGTTTAGTATCGGGACTTTGAATTTCTTTGTGATAATGGATATACGGCCATATGAACAGCTTTACCTGTTTTTATTCATTCAGAAAGGAGAAGAAGATTTGCTTGTGCCGCACCGTGTGTTAAAAGTGATGATTTGTTCTTTGGAGAACTATGCCATGTAATATGAATTTGATCCACAGTACCCTTCCCATCAGCTACACAATCAGCTACTCAAAGTTGACTGTGATGGTGTGGAGGAGTTCATGTATTTCAGCCTCATCTTTTCTTGCAGATCAACTTCTATGACTTGCAGCTTCCCTGAAAAGCCCATAAAGATACGTATGGAAATTGGTCAATGCAGGTTACTGAGGGAGAGGAGCCTGGGGCACACACTTTACTCTGTATATTGCCCTCTTCAAATCCAAAGGCTTTTGGATAGGAAAGCATGTGTACACACACACTTGAAATACTCCAAACTGTCTATCATACTAACTAACATCAACAGTTCAACAGTAAAACCTTTCTCCTATGGAATAAAACAGTAACCAAAGATGGCCTTTACATTCCCTCCTAACAAGTAAGCAACTAACATTTTCTGAGATGCATAGCATCAGGGCATCAGGCTTTTAGGGCCAAGGACAGCAACAGACCATAGGGTCAAATTTCCTCATGTGAATATGACCTACTGCTTTGCTCCTCACTTGTAGAGAAAGAGAACATCAGCATGTCTGCTCATCTTGTGTCCCAGGGAAGTGCCTGGGAAGAAGGGAATTTATGTTGAAATAAAGATAGTTTTTATTTGTAAAAGCCTTTTTCAGAAAAATATTACAAGTTGTTATTTATAGCTCCCACTCTGTAAATAGGCTTATATAAACCATTTATTATTTATTTATATTATTTTGATTAGCTGATCTCTGACATCTGAGCTCACAAAATGCCAAACTTACATCAAATCAATGTGGTTTTTTTCAGTTAAACCCATTTCAAAGAATCATCCAAAGGAAGAGTTTTGTCCTTTTTGATCCTGTGCTGAAAGCAGGGTCTACTGAAAAGAGAGAGGCAGGTGGGAAAGCTTTGCAAAAGATATGTGAGTGGGAGGGTGCTGCCTGCATGTGTATGTGGTGGTGCAGGAGGACAGCAAAACCTGCTCTGCTTTTGAAAGCCACAACATGTCGTTCCACAAGATTGTCACTAAGGTTCGTGTTTATATAAAAACAATTCTGAAAGTGCAAATGTATGAGCTCTCCCTTTCTGACTGCAACAGTACTTGTTGCATTCCTTCAGTATGCTTATTTTACAGCATTGATTTAAAAGTGAAGATAAAATACCCTATTGCCTCTTTCAATGCATGGAAGTTAGATAGTATATTTATTTAATAAGACCGCTGCAGTTAAATTCTGTCCTGTCTTTTCAGGAGGCTGAGATAAAAAGTAGTGGGGTTTTGTAGTCCCAGCTAGGATGGATGTGTAGTATTCTGAAAGATGCCTCAGTTCACTGCAAAATAAAACTGTAGGGCCTTTCCTCCATACTGTAACATGATTCTTTTGTGTACAATTAGACTGTTCTGAAATACCCTGGTATTTTCAAGATTTAGATTCTCAAAGACTAATGTCAGCTCTCAAACTAATCTTACTTACAATGCCTAATTATTACTGCAGTGAGCGAAAAAAACCACCAGTGCTTGTTGCACGTTCCCATTGTCATTTTTCTAAACTTTGCAGACCCTACTGTGCTCTAGTTGAAACTGCGCTCTGGAATTAGATTGCCAAACCACACTCTTACCTAACTGTGTTGAGGGGACCCATCTCTACTGGCAGGAGAAGAGAGGCACTGTCCACTTCAGGCATCAGCCTTCCCAACACCATGGAACCTTTTGGTTTTCCAAAACTCTGATATTAAATTCAGTTATAATTATACCAAGGGAACCCAATGGTGCCCTCAGAATCATCAAATGTGCTAATGAATATTGCTCTCAGATCTCATATTTACCCTCAAACCCCAGACCACCCAGAAATACACTGGACATTTGAAACTTGGGCTTCTCAAATGCTAACCTTAAGGCCAAGGACATTTCAAAACCAAATGTAGAAAAGAACATATTGCACTGGCACCTATAAGGAACAAACCTCTGCTTTGGTCCATACTTCCAGCAATATTCAACTTGTTTGGCTCTTCAAGATTCAATTCTTCTAAACTCTTAGCCCTGCCCTGACATAAAACTAAGCAATTGGCTCATAGAAAATTGCAACACTGCTACCTGCTGCCACAGGTTGGCCCGTTAGCATTCAGGAGGTCTTGGGACTCTTAGATCTCAGAGCCTAAATATCACATCAATTTAAACCAAGGGACCTCTGTGCACAGGAAAAAAACATACAAAGAGTTGGTTCCCATCTGCATCAGGCAGTCCACTCAGAAGAAGCCATCAATAACATCAGTTCTTCCAGATGTAGATTTTCAAGTACTAGTAGTATCTCAAATCTTAGCCTTTACTTTAATAATCACAGGAAGGACTCCAAACATTTTATAACAGGGAAGAACATTTTTCCTGTTGATATCAGTTTGCTGCTCAAGACTGTCAAACTGCAGTATCCATTCCCAGGCTATGTCTGTCCTGCCAAAAAAACCCAAAAACCATCCAAGCTGGGACATAGGTTTGAACCCTGCTGCTGCTGAATTTAGCCTATTAGTGATGACTCACTGGCACAATTTTGAATTTTGGCCTCTGTCAGTGCATGTGCACTGGTCAGCATGGTTTCAAGGCAGTGAGAGCAAAGGATTCTGCCCTTTGGCAGAATGGATGAAACTACACAAGTTTGTTCCCCTCCCATAGTTGTCCAGCTTTATTACAACAGGCTTTGCACCTCTCAAACACTTCAGTACACAACCACTCCTCATATAACAGTCATGTGTTGCCCTATCTCAGCCTCTGAGTATTGAGGAAAGACATTGAGATGCTGGAGCAGGTCCAGAGAAGAGCAACCAGGCTGGTGAAAGGACTTGAACGCAAGTCCTGTGAGGAAAGGCTTGAGGGAGCTGGAGTTGTTTAGCCTGGAGAAGAGAAGGCTCAGGGGAGACCTCATCATTCTCTACAACTACCTGGCAGCTCTCAGTAAGACAAGAGGGCACTGTCTTAAGCTCTGCCAGGGGAGGTTTAGGTTAGATATTAGGAAGAAATTCTTTACAGAGAGGGTAATCAGGCATTGGAATGGGCTGCCCAGGGAGGTGGTGGATTCTCTGTCCCTGGAGGTATTTAAGAAGAGACTTGATGTGGCACTTAGTGCCATAGTCTAGTAACTGTGGTGGTAGTGGATCAAGGATTGGATTTGATCTCAGAGCTCCTTTCCAACCCATCTGATTCTATTATTCTATGACTGCAGTTAGGAAGAAAGCTTGTGTCAGTCAGAACAAGTGTTTTGTAAGCTACAGTAGAAGCGAAGGGCTTGTTATAAATAGAGAAACTGTCAGGGTTCAGTTTGCAGTGGACCTCAGCATGGCACGAACCAAGCTTGCCACTGGAAGCTGCCTTCATTGCAGGGCTCTGCAGGGCTTGGCAAAGCAGAGCAGTCAATGTATTCTCTTTTCTTGAAAGCATGAGCTATTTGTTACCACTAAAATGAAGGCTAGAATGAGGAGTAGGGTTAGCCATATGATTTGGAACTGTAGATCTTGAAGAACATGAATTGCTGACAGCCATATTTGAAGATACTTTATTTTCTGTTCTACTAGAGGGAACATATGGGTATGACAATGTACAAGAAGTTCCATATTATTCACCACATGCTGCTGCCCAAGAACTTTAGAAGTCTGGAGTCCATAGGTATTCATAATAAGGTAACACTTAGGGTTGAGTTAGGAATCCAGATATCAGGGAACTGGCATTGTTATGGCTTACTGCGCAGCCCTCAATTTTAGGAATAGGGAGGATGTCAATAATGGACTGTTATTCGTGGTAGGGTTTTTTAGTAGACATGAGTCTCACAGTTGCAGTGTTCTGAGACAGATTTATTCATGCAGCTGAACTTCCCATTGAATGAGGATGAGCATTAGCGCTAAGCTAATGTCTTGCATTCCACCACAGGACTAGTTTCCTTCACAGATCTACTGTTAGGGCCCATGCAAGTAAGGATATTGTCCGCACTAGTGATGGAGGTAAGATCTGAAAATTTAAAGACTGTCTCAGTAACATGGCGTCAAGGCAGCCTTGCCCTGCCCATGTTACATTGTACTTAAGTGAGGTCCTCTCAGAGGCCCACCTGTGACCTTTGGGAGTAATTTTTTTTTTTTCCCTAGAGGCAGTGATTCAAAAATTCTTCAAGGGCTGTGTTTCAGCCCATCCAGCTGGTGTTTTCATACTCAGAGGCTGAGATGGGGCAATGCATGACTGTTACATGAGGAGTGGTTGTGTACTGAAGTGTTTGAGAGGTGCAAAGCCTGTTGTAATAAAGCTGGACAACTATGGGGGAGAACAAACTTGTGTAGTTTCATCCATTCTGCCAAAGGGGAATAATTCTTTGCTCTCACTGCCTTGAAACCATGCTGACCAGTGCACATGCAC